GTTTGAACCGCCAGCCTTCTGGTTAGCAGTCAAGTGCCTTAGCCACTATGCTATCAGAGCGCTTTCTCTCTGTGTGTGTGTATATATATATGTATACACACACACTAAATTCTTGTTGTTAGGTACCTTGGAGTTGGCTCTGATTCATAGCGACCCTATGTACAACAGAAGGAAACACTGCCCAGTCCTGCACCAGCCTCAGTCCTAGCTATACCTGACCCCATCATTGCAGCCACTGTGTCAATCCATTTCATTGAGGGTCTTCCCCTCTTACACTGACCCTCCACTTCACCAAGCATAATATCCTTCTCCAGGGAATGGTGTCTTCTGACAAAATGAACCAAACTGGGTGAGACAAAGTCTGGCCATTCTCATTTCCAAGGAGATTTTCAAATGGAGGAAGATGAACTATTGGCTCACAACAGGCTAATCCTTTGAGGGGAAAAGTTAGAATACCTAAATCTATACATTGTTTTTGTGTTGTTGTTTGCCATCGAGTCAGCCCCGACTCATAGCGACCCCTCCTTAGGGCCTGCTAACTAAAAGGTTGGCTATTTGAATCCACTGCTACTCTGAGCAGGAGAAAAATGTGGCAGTCTACTTCTGTAAAGATTTCAGCCTTAGAAACCTTATGGGGCAGTTCTACTCTTTCCTATAGTTTGATATAAGTGGGAATTGACTCCTTGACAACGGGTTTGGTTTGATACATTAAAACAATTCTAGATGGGAAATAATTTTTTAATAAAATCCTAAATTACAGTAAAAAATACAGGATAAGATTTACTTAATCTTGAGGTGGGACAACACTTCAAAATATGTCTTAAGGCCAGAAGGCAAAAAGAAAAAGATGTATCCATTTTTTAAATTTATTTTTTATTTTTTTTAAGTCATTTTAAATGCATTTTTCCTGTGCACAAGAGAAATAACTGATAAAGTCAAAAGATACAGTTTCCTTTATACATAGCAGTTAAAAGTAATTCAAACATCACATGACACTGTCAGGGAAAGTTACATTTCCAATTACAAATTAAAATGCATATTAGGGTCTCTTTATGGGAGAAGCTGAGAAGAAAGCCTTAGGTAAAAAGCACTTTCCTGGCATTACTACAATGATCCTTCAGGTTGCACAAAGATTAAGATCATATATATTCAATCTGTGAATGCTGACACAATGTTACACTGGAAGTTTCCTGTACAATTAAATGTATAATTAGAGATAACCAGAATAAACATTTCTACTATATTTTAACTGAACTTGCCTAACCAACATTTTCACTTTGTTTATCGAAGATGCTGTAAGATTCTACAAAATTGGGAGAAATACTTAGTTTCAGAAATATTTATTTTATTCTTTCTCATTTTGGTTACACTTATTCTGCTCAGACTATTGTAGTATTTCTAAAAGATGCACATTTCCAATTGTGCTTACTATACTGTGTACAAATACAGCAAAAAAAGGTAAGTGGTATAAATCTTACAGCATTTTGCTAGCAAAAATACATGCCAAACTCACAATAAGCAATATTGTACAACAAATTAAGAGCTCCAAATAATGTTTCTAGTATCTTCCTTCTACATTAAATTACTAGCATAGGCTAATGTTTAAAATGCAAATAAACTGGACATCTGTAGGACAAAACTTGTTCACCCAGCTGTAAAGGCTGATACCTATTTCCAAAAATCACTATAAATGCAGAATGAAGAGAAGTGTTTGCATGCAGCACTTTTGAGCGAAACAGAATTGATTCCCACCATTCACAACAGAGAAGGAAGGGAAGGGAAAGGGAAGAGAGAGGAGGTGAGGGAAGTGGAGGGATATGGGAGGGAAGGGAAGGGGAGAGGTGGGGAGGGAAGGAAAGGACTACACCTTAAAATGCGTATTAGATTTATATCTAGACAGATTTAAAAGATTCAAAATGAAAGTAAAGCACGGGTATGTATATGTGTTTAAAGATTTAAGAGCCATTATCAAAAATAAGATACATTTTTTTCAAGGTACAGAAATGTAATTAAGATGGCTGGGAGCCCAGCAGCCTCTCAATGGCTGCATTGATGTCGCCTCCTGTTGCTATAAGGGCCTGCAAGTTTGCTTCACGGTTTAAAAACCCCATTGCGTTGAGCTGTTCCAGTTGTTGCTGAAATCTGACTTCTGGATTCGGCAGCTGTGGAGGATTTGCTCCAGCCAGAGCCTGCACCATTTGCTGAATGAACTGCTGGTTGGGTCCAGATTCTGATGTTGGACTCGTGGCTTCACTGGCTGCAGAGCTAGACACCGTGGACCCAGCTGGGACACCAGAGCTAGCAGGGCCACCAGAGCCAGTGGTGCCAGGGGGACCTGCGGGGCCAGTGGGGCCTATGGGCCCAATAGGGCCTATGGGGGTAAATGGGACTATGGGGCCTATGGGGCCTATGGGAGTGACTGGGCCTACAGGGCCTATGGCGGTTCCCAGTACCCCGACCCCCACACCGGGAGTGAAGCTTGGAATGAGGCCAGGTGCTTCTGTGGCTAATGTCTGTAGCCCCTGTTGGATCTGCATTAAAGCCTGCATTGCTCTTGGGTTTGACATTGCTGACAGTGTGTCTGGATTCTGCATCTGCTGCAGAAAAGCTGGGAGTTGTGGACGCATCTGCTCCTGCAGCTGAGGATTTGCAGCAAACAGCGGGTTATTCAGCATCATCTGTGCAGCCAGATCTGGATTCTGGCTCAGGGACTGCATCATGCTTCTCATGTAGGGTGCAGATAACATATTCTGGATCAGCTGGGGGTTTTCAGTTATCTGTTGCAGCAGGCTCTGCATTCCTGGGGTACTGAAGACGCTGGCAACATAACTGGCTGCAGCCATCGTGTTCCCAGTAGTATTGCTGGAGCTACTGCCAGATCCACTCCCATTGCTGGTGGTGGTACTGGTGGTCACAGAACTCTGAGTAGCTGGTGGTGGTGCCCATGGATTGGGTAGTGGATCTCGATTTTCTGTGCGGGAAGGCTGTGCACCTTCTCCGGAGGAGGAACTGCTCCCCACTGAAGCAAAAGGATTACCCCCAAACTGCTCTTGTGCAGCATTCAGCATAGGTTCTTGAATGTCAGTGTACATGCGCCTTAGAGCATTGTAACCACCTGGGATGCTTTCAAGATTGCTCAGAGCCAGGTCTTGATTTCTCATCATTTCTTGCATCATGGCTGGATTCCTGGCGATTTCAAGGGTCTGTCTCATTATATCTGGGTTATTAAGCAGGTGACTTATTTCTGGGTTTCTCTGAATCAACTGTTGCATCTGTGGATTGGCCATAATGAGCTGCCTCATCAGATCAGGATTCGAGAGCATGCTCTGAACAAAGGGATTTTCCATGATTTGGATCATCATCTCTGGGCTGGACATGAGCTGCTGCTGCATCTGGCTCTGGAGCTCAGAGAAGTTGGTCGAGCTCAAGCCCAGGCTGCTAAGGCTTGCAAGTCCTCCCAGGCTCCCCAACCCAAATGGGTTGCTATTTGTGGAAATCGGTGTGGAGTTACTCCTGGGAGTCGATGCCGTGGTAGTATTAGTTCCCGCGGCATTGCTAGACTGCGTGGACTGGCCCTGAGGTCGGTTCTGGCTTTTGATGACAAGGTGAACAGTCAGTCCATCATGGATGCCGTGCTGGATCAAGGTGTCTTGATCTTTTAAGATTTTTCCGGCAAAAATCAGCACTAACTGGTCGGTTTGGGATTTGAAGCGTTTCGAAATCGCTTCCTTAAACTGCTGGACCGAGCTATTCTCGGGCACCGCGAACTCCTCTTTCTCTTTGGGGGTCTTCACCGTGACTTTGATGATTTTAGGTTCGACTGGGGCAGCGGCCGAGCCTGGGGCCTCAGCAGGGCCGCGGGAGGGGTGCGGGGGGCCGCTGCTCTCGCCGTTCTCAGCCATGGCGGCCGCGGTGACGCAGGCAGGCAGGGAAGGCGCGGGCGGGTGAGCGAGAGAGCGAGGGAAGGAAGAAGGAGGCGCCGCCACAGCAGGCAGGGCCGGGCCGAGTGGGGAGCGCTTAGCACCGTACCTCTGAGATGAAGGCTGTGGTTCCCTGGTCCTCGGGTAGTGAGAGTGCTCGGCCTAGGCCGCGGGGCGAAATATCCGCGCTTAGGGCTCTGAGCCTCCGCAGCCGCCGTGTGATCCGAGCGCGCGCACTCCCAGCAACTCCTGCAAGCCGCTCCGCCCGCTCCTCCCCGCCTCTTCCCCTCCCCCAGCTTTGCTCCCGCCTCCCAGCCCCCTTCTGCTGAGGGCCGGGGGCCCAGATTGATAGATTTGACTTGGTCAAAATTGAAAACTTCAGTGCTGAAAGGGAGAGAAAGGGACAGAGTTTGAGAAGGAGAGAAGGTGAGGGGGAAAAAGGCAAAGAGGGAGAGAGGGGAAAAAAGCGGCAGAGTGGGAGGGAGGAAGGGAATGAGCAGAGGAAATAAACGTTTGTAAAGGACATTAGAAGACTAAAGGAGAATATGTATTAGCAGTAGGTAAGGTAGTAAAAAGATGAAAAGCCGAAATCAAGCCGACCGTGTGCGGAAGACGAAAAATGAATAATAGAGAACTCTGACAAAGCAAAGAGAAGCACCTCTAACGGGAGAAGGGAAGAAGACAGGGCAAACGCTTACGTTTTACAAAAGAAGTACAAATAGGCAATAGGCTTATAGAAGAATAATCAAACCCACTAGCAATCAATGAAATTGACATTAAAACACTGAAATTCAGTTTTTGGCTTATGTTGGCAAAGATGAAAAATGATAAACTTTACCATAGGCAAGGGGATGAGAAAATGCACTTTCATGCTGTGAATTGTTACAATCCTCTTAGAGTTATTTGAAAATACACCATCAACATTTTAAATGTGTCTACTTTCATTTAGAAATGTCTCAACTTCCACTAAGAAAATACCGGATAAGGTTGCAAAAATAAACAGGTATAAAACTATTTTTAAAAAGATAATCAATGTCTTTTTATATAACCAAAAACCAAATCAACCTCAATGCCCTGTGTTGAATCCAACTCATAGCCACCCCTCCTTGGGTTTCCCAGGTGATAACACTACTGAAGTAGATTCCCCGGTCGTCCTTCGGAGTAGTGACTGGTGGGTTTGAACTGCCAGCGTTCTGGTTAGCAATCAAATGCCTTAGGCACTATGCCATATCACACACACAGTCATACACTTGGTCACTGCCATCCAGTGGGATCTGACTGACTCAGAGTGACCCCTTTTTGGATTTCCCAGGCAGTATCAGAAGGAAGGGAGCTCTGGTAGCATAGTGCCTAAGGCACTTGACTGCTAACCAGAAGGCTGGCGGTTCAAACCCACCAGCCACTCCTTGGAAGGAAGATGGGGCA